AGCCCATCCACATCCCTCAGCAGGCCCTTCCTGCCCTTCCCATGGATTCAGACTGTCCACATCCCTCAATAAGGGCCTTCCTGCCCTGCCCCTGCTCTTCCCATGGATCCAGCCCGTCCACATCCCTCAGTAAGGCCCTTCCTGCTCTTCCCATGGATCCAGCCTGTCCACATCCCTCAGTAAGGCCCTTCCTACCCTCCCACTGCTCTTCCCACGGATCCAGCCCGTCCACATCCCTCAGTAAGGCCCTTCCTGCCCTCCCACTGCTCTTCCCACGGATCCAGCCCGTCCACAGCCCTCAGCAAGGCCCTTCCTGCCCTTCCCACCCGCCCCCTGAGTGCTCCGTGGTCTCCTCTCACTCACCCAGGAAGTCGTCGGCCGAGAAGTGGTCAGCGTCCCAGACCTGCAGGGTGAGCCGGGCCGGGATCTTGTACTCGGTCTCGTCCCAGGAGAACATGGACTCCTTCTTGGAGATGACGATCTTCTCCTCGGCCATCAGGTAGTCGAAGGGGAAGATGTACCTCCAGTTGAAGTTGCCCTCCCCGGTGAGCGAGTGGTAGTGGACGTCCGTGTCCTGCTTGTCCTCCTGCTGCCCCTTCAGCCACCTGCGGGGTCAGGGGGGACAAGGGTGACACGGGAACACCCAGCCAGGGGGTCTCCAGGACTGGGAGAAGCCGAGAGAGGGGAGCCAAGGGGCTTGGGGATGCTCTGGGCAAAGGGGCACAACAGGCACAGGGGAGGGGGGGGACAGGGAAGTTTGGGAGAAAGGGATGCAGATGGGTTGTCTGGGGGCAGGGAGGTGTTAAAGAGCTGGATGAGAGCTGGGAGCGTTGTGGGAGCAGAGCAGGATGGGAAGGGATCACAGGAGAGCTGGAGAGGGACTGGGGACAAGGGATGCAGGGACAGGACACAGGGAATGGCTTCCCACTGCCAGAGGGCAGGGAGAGATGGGAGACTGGGAAGGGATTCGTGGCTGTGAAGGTGGAGAGGCCCTGGTATGGGTTGCCCAGAGAAGCTGTGGCTGCCCCTGGATCCCTGGGAGTGTCCAAGGCCAGGTTGGAGCCCCCTGGGATAGCGGGAGGTGTCCCTGCCCATGGAGCAGGATGGGATTTGAGGTCCCTTCCCACCCAAACCAGGCTGGAATTCTATGGTTCCATGGAGCTGGGATGGCTCCAGACTGGGCTTCTCAGATTCTTGGAAGACAAATCTTGTGGGATGCAGCTCCAAGGGATTGAAGGAAAGCACTGAGCTCCAGGGAGAGCTTGGAGCCCCTTCCAGAGCCTAAAGAGGCTCCAGGAGAGCTGGAGAGGGACTGGGAACAAGGGCTGGAGGGACAGGACACAGGGAATGGATCCCACTGCCAGAGGGCAGGGAGAGATGGGAGATTGGGAAGGGATTCCTGGCTGGGAGGGTGGGGAGGGGCTGGGCTGGGATTCCCAGAGAAGCTGTGGCTGCCCCTGGATCCCTGGGAGTGTCTAAGGCCGGGTTGGATTCCCTGGGATAGCGGGAGGTGTCGGGGTTGGAATGGGATGATCCTTAAGGTCCCTTCCCACCCAAACCATTCCAGGATCCCCAAAAAGCAAGGATGGAACTTTTCCCAATGCTTTGGGGTTTCCCTCCCCTGCATTCCCATGCTTCCCGTGGAAAAGGGAAGAGCCTGGCAGGGTTTCTCTTGGAACAGCAATCCCATATCCAAGCACGGGAAAACCGGGATGCAGGTGCCTGGTTTTCCTGGGGTTAGATGGGAGATTGGGAAGATGTTCCCCCCTGGCACGCACCCCCTGACGAAGATGTCGCTGGACTTCTCGCCCGTGAAGTAGTCGTCGTCCTCCAGGATGACCTCGTCCGTGTTCCACACGATCACCCGCAGCTCGTACCTGGCAGTGGGAACAGGGAAAATCCCAGGGAAGGGGCAGGATCTCTCCAGATCCCCCTTCAGCCCGTGTTTTCCCAGTCTGAACCAATTCCGTGTCCACTGACATGTTCTCCTCCTCTTCTTCACCCCTGACCTGCCTCCGTCTTCCTTTTGGGCACATGTTGGGTGTGTTGGGACAGAACCCCCTGCCAGAAACCAGGGACGGGAACCAGGATCTCACCGGGATCAACTGAGGGATCCGTGAGGGCAGGAACAGGAGGGGAACTCGACCGTGGAGGTGATTGGAGGGATGGGGCTGTTCTTAATGGAGCCAGGCTGGGAGAGCTGGGATTGTTCAGGTGGGGAAGAGAAGGTTCCATGGAGGCCTGAGAGCCCCTTCCAGAGCCTGAAGGGGCTCCAGGAGAGCTGGAGAGGGACTGGGGACAAGGGCTGGAGGGACAGGACACAGGGAATGGCTTCCCACTGCCACAGGGCAGGGAGAGATGGGAGACTGGGAAGGGATTTCTGGCTGGGAGGGTGGGGAGGGGCTGGGCTGGAATTCCCAGAGAAGCTGTGGCTGCCCCTGGATCCCTGGGAGTGTCCAAGGCCAGGTTGGAGCAATGCTGGATAGTGGAAGGTGTCCCTGCCCATGGCAGGGGGTTGGAATTAAATGATCTTCAAGGCCCCATCGACCCCAAAGCATTCCATGATTCCATGATCTCCCTGGGAGCTGGGATGGGCCTCGGCGGGGGGAGCAGAGCAGCAAGGGCTGCACCCAAAGAGGGGAGCTTGTCCCCTGTACCCGGCCTCTCCGGCACCTCCAGCTGGGAGCCAGGGATGTTCTCTCCGCCTGGGATGCACAGGAGACTCCCACCAGCATTCCCAACAGTGCCAGCCCTGTATTCCAGGGCGGTGGGAAAAGGGGCACGAGGACCGGGCACAGCAGGGTAAGGCAGGACCGGGAGGGATTTTGAGGGAAGGAAGGTCTTTCTTCCCTCCGAAGGAGTTGGGAGAGGGCAGGGTGGGCAGGGATGGGCTCTTGGTGCACTGCCTGTGCCTGCTCTGTCCTGGTTGGAATGGCCAGCTCTGTCCTGCCTGGAATGTGCCAGCTCTGTCCTGCCTGGAATGTGCCAGCTCTGTCCTGGTGGCCTCCCGTGCCTTGGTTCTGTCCATCACCTCCTGGGAAAGACCCATCCAAACTGCCTGGAATTCCGTGCCATGGGATAACCCCCCCACACCTGGGAGAGGGTCAGGGCTGGGCCCTCTGCTCTGCTGGGAATGGTTGGATTTCCTAGTCTGGAAAGACAGGGAGCTGCAGGGCGTGGAAGAGGTGGGAGCCCACCCTCAGGGGAAGGCATCTCTCCTTGCCTCCAGCCTTGGGATCTCTGGGAATGCCAGCGGGGCTGAGGAACCCCAGCAGAGGCCTGGGCTGGAGCAGCAGCAGGAGAGGGGAGAGGCCTGGCTCCATCCCAAGCTCCTGGGCTCCGTCCCAAGCTCCAGGGCTCCATCCCAAGCTCCAGGGCTCCATCCCAAGCTCCCGGGCTCCATCCCACGCTCCCGGTGTCCCCGGGGTCGGCTCCTTACTTCTTGGGTTTCCTGGGAGAGATGTCAATGGCGGGGCCGGGCGCCGGCATGTCCATGGGGAACATGTCCACCCACATCTCCAGGCGGCCCTGCGGGGGTGCAGGGGGGCAGTCAGCTCCCCTCGGCCCCCCCTGAGCCCCCTCCCTGCCCAGGGCCACCTTTCCCCAGCTCCTTTTCACCTCCAACATCCCCCTGGCTGTGCCAGATGTGGGGTCTGCAGTGCTGGACCCTCTAAATATGGGGCAGGGCCTGCGGTGCTGGAACCCCCAGATGTGGGGCCTGAAGTGCTGAACCCTCTAAATATGGGGCAGGACAAGGTTCTCCCACGCCACAAGACCTTCCCCACCGCCTACAGAAGGGCCCCATGGCCTGGTGTGATCCCAAAGGTTCATGGGGGTTGGGAATCCGGGACCCGAGAGACTTTGGGGCACGGAATGGCCGCGCCTGGAGATGGAGGAGGTTGCCTGGCGGGATCAAGGGGTGACTGCCAGGAGGTGCTGATGGCTCTGGGTGGGCCTCCCCCAGCCCTGTGCCCACCCTGAGGTAGTTTGCCAGGCTGGTTTTTGCCCCCCCTCGTGCCCCCGGTTTGCCCCCAGGACCTGCTCGATGCCCGGCTTGTCGGGGTTGAGCAGCGGCCGCGTCTCCACGTGCTCGGGGACGAGGCGGCAGCCGGCGCGGGGAACGTCCTCCCAGTGCCGCAGGGCCGCCAGCGCCACCGGCTCGTCCGACGCCTTCTTCTGGCCTGGGGGGGGCACGGCAGGGCCTGCAGAGCCGGGCAGGGGGGCACCCCGTGCCCACAGCCCTGCTGCAGCTCCTTGGGGATGGGTTGTCCTGCAGCCAGCGCTTCCTGACTCCTCTCCTTCTCCCTGCTCCATCCCTCCATCTCTCCAGATCCCCCTCCCAGTCTGAACCAATTCCGTGTCCATTGACATGTTCTCCCCCACCTCCCACTGTCTGGGGGTGCAGTTCCATGGAGAACAGCTTCCCGAGCCCTGGGAAGGCCAGGGTGGGCCTTGCTCCCAGGGGTAAGAACTCTCCCTCTCCTTGGACACAGTCTGTCCTGCAGCCAACGCTTCCTGACTCCTCTCCCTCTCTCCATCTCTCCAGATCCCCCTCCAACACGTGTTTTCCCAGTCTGAACCGATTCCATGTCCATTGACATGTTCTCCCCCATCTCCCACTGTCTGGGGATGCAGTTCCATGGAGAACAGCTTCCTGAGCCCTGGAAAGGCCAGGGTTAGGGGCAGAACTGCCCAATGCTCTCCCTCTCCTTGGGCACAGTCTGTCCTGCAGCCAACGCTTCCTGACTCCTCTCCATCCCTCCATCTCTCCAGATCCCCCTCCAGCCCGTGTTTTCCCAGTCTGAACCAATTCTGTGTCCATGGACGTGTTCTCCTCCTCTTCTTCACCCCCGACCCACCTCCCTCTGTCTCTTGGGGAGGTGCCAGCAGGTCCCTCGGAGGGGGAAGTTGCAGGGTTGGGGTGACGGTTGCAGGGTTGGGGTGATGGTTGCAGGGTCGGGGTGATGGTTGCAGGGTCAGGGTGATGGTTGCAGGGTTGGGGTTGGGGTGACGGTTACAGGGTTGGGGTGATGTTTGCAGGCTTGGGGTGACGGTTGCAGGGTTGGGGTGATGGTTGCAAGGTTGGGGTGATCAGGCTGCTCAATCTCATGAGGGTTGGACTGGAGAACCTTCTAAGGCCCTTCCCAACCCAACCCATCCTGTGATCCCAATCCTGGAGGACGAGGGGACAGCCCAGGCCCCGCTCCCCTGCCCAGCCCTCGTCCCACGGGCTCCTACCGTTCTCATCCTCGATCTCCGTGGGGCCGGTGAAGACCCTGTTGGCGACTTTGACTCTCCCTCCCGGCCCGAAGTGCGGCCCGTCCACCTTCCCCTCCTTGCACAGCTTGGCCAGGATCTGGGAGGGCTTCATGGGGTCCCTCCAGGTGTTGTAGCCGTGGCTGTGAGAACGGGAGGGCGAGGGCAAGACTTGGCTTTTCCAAGCCATTCCATCCCCCCCTTCCCAGCCAAACAAACCCTGGACACGGGATTCCCGGGGAAAGGATTTGGGGCAGCAAAGGTGGAACTGGAGAGCAGACTGGGATCCTGAGGAGGAGGAGGGTGCAGGAGGAAGGAAAGCCCTGGAAGGTGAGGCAGAGGAGGGTGCAGGGGGCAGGCAGGGCAGGGAAGGCTCTGGAAGGTGAGGAGGAGGAGGGTGCAGGAGGAAGGAAAGCTCTGGAAGGTGAGGAGGAGGAGGAGGAGGAAGGAAAGCTCTGGAAGGTGAGGAGGAGGAGGGTGCAGGAGGAAGGAAAGCTCTGGAAGGTGAGGAGGAGGAGGAGGAAGGAAAGCTCTGGAAGGAAAGCTCTGGAAGGAAAGCTGTGGAAGGTGAGGAGGAGGAGGAGGAAGGAAAGCTCTGGAGGGAAAGCTCTGGAAGGTGAGGAGGAGGAGGGTGCGGGAGGAAGGCAGGGCCGTGCCCTACACAGAGTAGGTGTGTGCCAGCCCGCAGGTTGCCCGGTGCTTGCTGTAGTAGCGGTTCTCCAGGTCGATCCTGGTCTCCCCGATGAGGTCGTCGGTGCCCACCAGGTCCCAGTCGTACACGGCCACCGTCAGCATGGACTCCATGGGGAACGTGGCCTCGATGTCGAAGGATCTGGCAGGAAAAAGCCTCTGTGGGGTCTGGCTGCCACCCCACACTGCCTGAGGTGGGTGCTTTGAGTGAATCTCTGCCCAACCCACCAGCCCTGCACAGGAGGTGGCCTGTCCTGGGATGTCTCAACAGCCCTGAAATTAAGTTTGTGTGTCTTGCTTTCGCTCAGATTTAGGTGTAAGGGTTCCTAAAGGAGGGATTTGCTCTTGGTCGGATTTAGGTCTAAGGGTTCCTAAAGGACAGATTTGCTCTTGGTCTGATTTAGGCCTAAGGGTTCCTAAAGGAGGGATTTGCTTTTGGTTGGATTTGGGTCTAAGAGTTCCTAAATGAGGGATTTGCTCTTGGTCAGATTTAGGTCTGAGGGTTTCTAAAGGACAGATTTACTCTTGTTCTGATTTAGGTCTGAGGGTTCCTAAAGGGGGGATTTGCTCTTGGTTTGATTTAGGTCTGAGGGTTCCTAAAGGAGGGATTTGCTCTTGGTCTGATTTAGGTCTGAGGGTTCCTAAAGGAGGGATTTGCTCT